CCAGGCTCCAAAACCATGCATGCATTCATTCACTCACTCATTCATTCATCATTCATTCAAGATTTCACTGAGATTCACCTATTACATGGCAAGCCCTGCACTAGCATTTTGGGAAACAGTGGTGGACTCAGCAGCTTCCAGCTCTCGAGCAGCCTACAGTCTGGAGAACCTGGTCCAGTTATAACCCAACCGGAAAGAGGATAGTGTTACAAAAACAATTTTCATGTGTTTGTGTTACAGATGCCTTTAAGCAAATGATGGAAACTGAGAACCCTGGCCCTAGAAGAGGCAATAAGCACATGCACATGAAATCCTGTCTATGATTTTAGAATGTTTATGGGTTCTCCAGACATCTATTTGAGAACCCCAGATTAAGGGTTCCTGAATTAGGCTAGGTGCAGTGGCTCACGCCTGTAATCTCAGCACTTTGGGAGGCCGAGGCAGGTGGATCAACTGAGGTCAGGAGTTCGAGAACAGCCTGACCAACATGATGAAACCCTGTCTCCACTACAAATACAAAAATTAGCCGGGTATGGTGGTGTATGCCTGTAATCCCAGCAAATCAGGAGACTGAGGTGGAAGAATTGCTTGAATCAGGGAAGCGGAGGTTGCAGTGAGCCAAGATCGCACCACTGCACCCCAGCCTGGATGACAGAGCAAGACTCCTTCTCAAAAAAAGAGTTCCTGAATCATAGTGGGAAAATTACTGAGACAGCCAAGACAGGAGGCTGTAGGAGTGCAGATTTGGGGAATGTTTCTTAGCCTAGGAATTTGGGAAAGACTTCTTGAAGGAAGTCACATCTATTCATTCAACAAGCAAATATCGAGTGCCTACTAAATGCCATCCCTTGAGGATATACCACTGAAAAGGAAAGCCGCAGCAATCCCATTTTTCTGGAGTTTACTATCTAGTGGGGATAGACAAGGAAATGAACAAGCAAATAGATGGACAAACACGAGAATGTCCAGAAGTGATGGAGAGGCTTAGGGGAAGATTAAGTTTAAGTGCCAGGCAGAGGCAGTAAGGTTCAAGGAAAGGCCCGATTGTGAGCATGAAAATGCTGTAATAAAAGATGTTTGAAAGACGGCTGGTGTGGCCAGAGCTTAGGGGATGGGATAAGATGGAGTTAGAGAGATGGGCAAAGACCTTGCGCCCTACGGCAGGAAGTTAGGATTTTACCCCAAGCACAAAAAGAAGCCATTTTCCTTTTCCCTCCCTTCCTCCCTTCCTCCCCTCCTCCCTTCCTTTCTTCCTCTCCTCTCTTTCTTTCCTTTTTTTTTTTGGGGGGACGGAGTCTTGCTCTTTTACCCAGGCTGGAGTACAGTGGTGTGATCTCAGCTCACTGCAACTGAGTTCATGTGATTCTCCTGCTTCAACCTCCTGAGTAGTTGGGACAGGTGTGCACCACCACACCCAGGTAATTTTTGTATTTTTAGTAGAGACAGGGTTTCACCCTGCTATCTAGGCTGGTCTTGAACTCCTGATTTCAAGTGATCCACCTGCCTCGGCCTCCCAAAATGTTGGAATTACAGGTGTGAGTCACTGCACTTGACCGTTTTTCTTTTTTAAGTTTAGAATTTTAAATTTGCACAAATGGAAGCAGTGTGCACAGAGCTCCTGTCTTTTGATGACCCATCTCTTTTCATCTGACAATGGTTTTATAGGTATAACTTTAAATTAGTTAATTTTTTTTTACCTACTATATAGAATTATATGGCACGCACACATCATATTTTATTCATCCATTCTCATGTTGATACGTGCTTAGGTCATACTCTGTTTTTTTACCATTGCAACTGATTCTGAAATGGAAAATTAATAGGTTGCAGAATGTGCAGATGTTCAACATTATGAGAAGTTGTCACTCGGCCCTTCAAAGTTGTCATACTAATTTATATTTCCACTGGCAGCATCCAAAAGATCCCATTTCTTTATATCCTTGCCAACAATTGGTAGAGTCAGTCTTTAAAATTTTTGACAATGTTTTGGATATAAAATGGTAACTCGTTTTCATTTGTATTTCCCTGATTACTAGCGTGGTTAAACATATAATTTTATATTTATTGGCTCTTGGAATTTCTTCTCTTGTGAATTGTCAGTATATATCCCTTGCCCAATTTTCTAAAAGGCTGTCTTTTTCTAATTGACTTGTAGGAGTTGCTTATATATTCGAATTACAAATCCATTGTTTTTTATAAATGTTGTAAATAGCCCACGCTCTTTACTGGAAGGTTTTAAGGAGAGGAGTGATACCTGATTTACATGATTAAAAGATCACTCTGGCTATGGTATGAAGAATTGAAGGGCAGGGCAGGGTAGGCATGAATGCAAGAGGGGAAACCAGTTTGGAGGTCATGATGGTGGCCCAGTGAGCAATGATGGTGGCTTGGACTAGGGTGATAGGAGCGGACATAGGGAAAAGTGACAGTTCCAGGGTCCGTTTTGGAGGCAGAGCTGTCAGGACTTGCTGACGGATGGGAAGTGGGTGAGGAGAACAGATAAGAATCAGGATGACTCTTGGTTTTTGGCCTGAGCAACTGGGTGGATGTGGTACCATTGACTGGGATGGAGGATGACAAATGGAGAAACAGGTTGAGGCTGGCAATAGAGGAATCAATAGTTATGTTTTGAACACATTAAGCTGAGGCAGCCTGTTGATAACCCAGTAGTTATGTCAAGTAACCAGTTGGATCTATGAGTCTGGAGTTCAGGGCCCCAGCCAGGGCTACGGATAGACATTTGGGAATCATTGATATGTGGATGGAATTTAAAGCCACGAGACAGGATAAGATGGAAAAGGCCTGGGGTTCTCAGTGGAGCCTTGGTACATGACAATATTTGGAGGTTGAGCAGAAGTGGAGAATCAATAGAGAAGACTTACCCCAGAATGTCACTCTCTGAGGGCAGGGGTTTTGTTCTGTTGACTTCCTACTGCACAGCACATAGAAGGCTCTTAGTAAATACTTGCAGAAAGAACACATGAAAGAACAAATAAATGAAAGAAGAGACTGAGAAGTGGCCAATGAGGTAGGAGGAGGAGGAGCATAAGGCATCATGGAAGCCAAGAGTGGTGGGAATGGCCAATTATGTTGAATGTTGTCAAGAAGTTGTGCAGGAGCTAGATAGAGATGTGACCCCTGGATCTGGCAACATAGAGGTCACTGTGACCTTGACAAGGGCAGCTGAGGCTGGAAGGATGAAGAGTTTGCCAGGTTCTGGGAGGTAGGGCGCAGGGTGCGGAGGGGTGTGGGAGGGGAATGTGAAAATGCCAGAAGAGAAATTGGGGCTGGTCATGACTCTCTTCATTTGTGGTTTTCCTCTTCTCTGCAGTGGTTTCCTTCTCAGGCAGGCTGCTCACTCATGGCAGCAAGATGGCCCCCCCGTAGGTCTAGGGCTCTATCCCTTCCTTAACAACCCCAGTGGAAAAGCCAAACTCATTTCGAAACTTTCAATCAAATGAAGTCTCATTGGCTCTGCCTGCGGGTCATGTGTCATTCCTGAACCAATCATGGTGGTCAAAGAAGAGTGCTCTACTCTGATTGGCCAGGCCTGGGCCTAATGCCCTTCCCTATAGCTGGGATGAAGATTTTACAGGGGCTGTTTTCCTTTGGAAAATCAAGATGCCAACATAAGAAAGGGATGAGGAAGTGTATGATGGTAGATAGGCAAACCCACAGAAGTTAATGATTCCTGGTAGATTTGTAGAATATCAGAATAATAAAAATAAAAAGGAAATACCTTAAGAGATTCCTTAATCTAAAAGTAGAACATGAAGCACATAGGTAACTCTCTTTTTTTTCTTTTCTTTTTTTTTTTTTAGACGGAATCTCACTCTGTCACCAGGCCAGAGTGCAGTGGCTCGATCTCGGCTCACTGCAACCTCTGCCTCCCAGGTTCAAGCGATTCTCCTGCCTCAGCCTCCTGAGTAGCTGGAATTATAGGCGCCTGCCACCATGCTCGGCTAATTTTTTATTTTTGGTAGAGACAGGGCTTCACCATTTTGGCCAGGCTGGTCTTGAATTCCTGACCTCGTGATCCGCCTGCCTCGGCCTCCCAAAGTGCTGGGATTACAGGTTTGAGCCACCGCGCTCAGCCGCACATAGGTAATTTTCAATTTTCTAGTACCCATACTAGAAATGAAGAAGAGAAACAAGTGAAATTAATCTTAATAATAAATTTTATGTAACCCATTCTATCTAATATAATTTCAGTATGTAATCAATATAAAAAGTATTACCTTTTTTTCAATTAAGTCTTCAAAATCTGTTACACTTACAGTATATCTTAGTCCCAATGAAATACTTTTTTGTTTTGTTTTGTTTTGTTTTTTTTTTGAGACAGGGCCTTGCTCTGTTGCCCAGGCTGGAGTGCAGTGGCACGATCACGATTCACTGCAGCCTTGACTTCCCGGACTCAAACCATCCTTTCACTTTAGCCTCCCTGGTAGCTGGGACTATAGGTGCACCCCACCACCCCTGGCTAATTTATTTTTTATTTTTTGTAGAGACAGTGTCTCCCTCTGTTGCCAGGCTGCGACATACTTGATCTGTGTTCAGATTTTATTACATTTACAATTGAGAAAGATAGGTTCACATATGCAAGTTATTCCAAATGCACTTAAAAATTTGGCCGGGCACGGTGGCTCATGCATGTAATCCCAGCACTTTGGGAGGCCAAGAGGGGGCGGATCACCTGAGGTCAGGAGATTGAGACCAGCCTGGCCAACATGGTGAGACCCCGTCTCTACTAAAAATACAAAAATTAGCTGGGCGTGGTAGCACGTGCCTGTAGTCCCTGCTACTCGAGAGGCTGAGGCAGGAGAATTGTTTGAACTTGGGAGGCAGAGGTTACAGTGAGCTGAGATCTCGCCACTGCACTCCAGCCTGGGTGACAGACCAAGACTCTGTCTTGAAAAAAAAAAAAAAAAAATCTCCTATCTGAAGCTTGTATCTGGTTTTAAATTTAAATTAATTAAAAATAAATGAAGTTTCCAATTCAGTTCCAGAGGGTCATCAGCCACATTTGAAGCGAGCAGCTACCAGACTGGATAGTGCAGCCCTGCCTCCAACACATTCATCTTACCCATGGGCAACCGAGGTCCAAGGAGGGCGTGGCCTGCCCAAGGTCACTGAGCAGAGTGTGACCAGGACCCAGGTCCCCTGACTCCGTCAGAACTGTTCTGCTCCACTTCACTGCCTGCCCTATTTTCATCAGGACAGCAAGCAGTGACCCAAGAAGCTGCAGTTTCAGAAGTGGAGTCAGAAGGCACAGCCTAACATATGCCTGCTCAGACAGTAAACTTCTTAGCGTTTCTTTACTTTATGTGAATCTTGTCTGTGACCAGTCTCCACCACCGGATGATGTGTAGAAAGAGTGCATAAACGACTTTAGCAAGCATCTATTGAGCACCTACTGTGTTTCCAGCAGTGCACCTGGCCTTAAAGACACGGAGATGGAGACAGCCCAGCTCTGGTCCTCAGGCAGCTCACCTCTGGTCCAGGGAGGACAGAGTGATCAGCCCCTCACTTACAGTGTGCGGAGGGTGGCGTGGGGTCCCACACAGAGCCGTGCAGAAGTGCTGTGGGAGTGAGCAGATTGCGTGCCTGGTGTCTGAAAACCCCAGCAAGCAGCCTCCTGGGCTGGCGGAACCAGCTGGAAGGGACCTTGGGAAAATCCCTGGGGAGCCCACATGTGGAGCTGCTGGGCCTCGGCCTGTGGGTGTGGGGTGTTTGGGTAACAGCCCAAAGGCTAGGAGGGTTTGTTTTTGTTGTTGATTGGAACTGAGAAAAGAGGGGCTATTGTCGGGCAAAGCCTCAGCTTATTGGTGTGTGTGGTTGGCTCAGGACTGTGGGGTGGGTACTTGCTGGGGTGCGGTTGCTGTCAGTAACATCCCTTCATGGAGCACCCATTGCAGCGTCCTTCTCCCCCTCCTTCACACATGCACACACTCGCATGCGCCCCCACACACGTGTGCATCGCCGGTTATACAATTTAATTTGCAGAGCCCAGGACAAAATGAAAATGCAAAGTCCCTTGATCAAAAGTTAAGAATGTCAAGGCTGTGACAGTAGGTCATTTAGCCAAGCGCGGGGGCCTTCTAATGGGCCCCGGGCGGCTGCGCAGGACACACATCCCGGAAGCTGGCCCTGCGCACACATAGACACGCAAGGTCCCCTGCTGTTTGCACTGACCTGTGTCTTTCCTTCTCTCCACCCTCTGTGAGGGAGGCCAAAGGCATGCCAGCTAGTGCTTTAGAGATTTATTATCTCATGTCATCTGTCAACATCCGATGTCAATCATGGCTATCATGCCCACTCTCCATATGAGGAAGTGAAGATGCGGAGGAGGACCTGGGATTCGAACCCAAAACTTACCTGAGTCCAAAGCCCAGGCTTTTTCCATGCATACCCTGCCCCCCAACCACGCAAAGAGGAATGAGCCACCTCCTTTTTTGTGTTATTTCTGATTTGTTTTCTTTTTCTTTCTTTTTTTATTTTGGAAACAGAGTCTCACTCTTTTGCTCAGGCTTCAGGGCAATGGAGTGATCTTAGCTCACTGCAACCTCCAACTCCTGAGTTCAAGCGCTTCTCCTGCCTCAGCCTCCCAAGTAACTGGGATTACAGGCATGCGACACCACGCCTGGCTAACTTTTTGTATTTTTAGTAGAGATGGGGTTTCACTATGTTGGTCAGGCTGGTCTCGAACTTCTGACCTCAAGTGATCCACCGCCTTGGCCTCCCAAAGTGTTGGGATTTCAGGCATGAGCCCCTGCACCCGGCATATTTCTGATATTTTTCTAATATTCTTTTCCTCTGAAGTTTTAGGTGATGAATCTGGTAGAAAAATAGTGTCACCAAATTCCTCTAACCTTGTGGGGTCACCCTTCCCTTCCATGAATCCCTATCATGAAGACCCATGTGGTGTCCCCACCTGGCCCAGATTCCCAGGGATTCCCAGGGGCTTGTGTTTCTCCGGGTTGCCCCGACTTCCTGCAGTTGTTCTCTTCTTTCCACCCAACATGTACTTACGAGCAGCTCGATTTTTCCTTTATCTACTTCTCAAGGCATCACTCACGTGAGCAGCACAGGCTTTTTATTGAGATTTGGGGATGAAAATAGATGTTCATCTTCTTAGCAATTTCTGGGCCACCACCACCTCCCAGGACTCTTTTCTGGTGGGGTTCCCCCTGAGCTCTCCTTCCATGGTAAAAGACTTCCTTACCCCTCTCCATACTGCCTTACTTCTGTATCTTTTCTCTGGTTTCCAGGCTGCCTCTTCTCCCTCTTTCTGGAGAATATCTCATTCATTCATTCATTCGTTCATTCATCAGTCCTCACAGAGCATCTAGTATGTGCCAGGCACTGTGTTTGGTATTGAAGACACAGAGAAGAACATGATGGACAAGGCCCTGCCCTGTGTTTCTGGTCTGATAAATGCTATGAAGGCAGAGGATGGAAAATTAGGACAAGAAAGGGAAGACTCATTTTAGATAGTGTGACATTTAAGCCAAGACTTGAAAGAGGAGCAGGAGCCAACCTGGGAAGAGGAGGGTCTTTAACCTGGGAATAACCTGGGCAAGGACCCGAGGCAAGGAGGGGCTGGGGGATCTATGAGGAATAGGAAGGGGAGCCAGGGTGCTTGGCCTGGAGTGAGCAGGGGGCAGTGAGCGAGACGCACAGAAGAAGGACTGAGAGGAATGACATTAAACTCGGGACAGTGGTCACGCATGAGGAGGGACAGGTACTGGGCTGGGCAGCAGGAGTTTGAAGATGAAGCCGACCTTCGGTGTTTTGTTTGAATATTTCACCATGAGTCTGCCTTCCTGCATTACTTGTACAATGAAAAAGTTAAAATTAGACCTAATATATATTCATTACTGGTCCTCTGAAAATGCAGCCTTGCCAAAGGAAGGGAAAAAAAAAACACTCACAAACACTACACCCGAAGATAATAATGTTAAGATCTTACTGACTGGGTGCGGTGCCTCATGCCTATAATCCCAGCACTTTGGGAGGCCAACGCAGGTGGATCACTTGAGCTCAGGAATTTGAGACCAGTCTGTGTAACATGGTGAACCTCTGTTTCTGTTAAAAATACAAAAATTAGGCCGGCGCAGTGACTCACGCCTGTAATCCCAGCACTTTGGGAGGCTGAGGCAGGCAGATCACTGGAGGTCAGGAGTTCGAGACCAGCCTGGGCAACATGGTGAAACCCCCATCTCTACTAAAAATACGACAATTAATCGGGTGTGGTGGTGCACGCCTATAATTCCAGCTACTTGGGAGGCTAAGGCACGAGAAATGCTTGGGCTTGGGAGGTGGAGGTTGCAGTGAGCCAAGATTGCGCCACTGTAGTCCAGCCTGGGTGACGTACAAGACTCTATCTCAAAAAACAAAACAAACAAACAAAAAAATTAGCCAGGTGTGGTGGCATGTGTCTATAGTCCCAGCTACTCTAGAGACTGAATGAGGAGCATCACTTAAGCCTGGGAGGTCGAGGCTGCAGTGAGCAGTAATGGCACTACTGCACTCCAGCCTGGATGACAGAAAGACACCCTGTCTAAAAAAAAAAATCTCATTACATCTTTCCAGATCTTTTCTATATTTTTCTATGCTTAAAAAGTATATGACTCTATTGAACAGACTATTTTACAATCTGCTTTTTTTTAATGCTTTATACTATATTGAAAATATCTTTCCATGCCATTAAATATACTCCCAAGCCAGGTTTTTTTGTTTTTTTTTTAAATGAATGCATTGCATCATGCTGCTTGGATTTACATTATATATTTAAATTCCTTCATGTTGACACACAGCTCATTTTAAAATTTCCTTTATTATATACCACCTGGGAAATGCATCCTGATACAGCTGTCTAGTTGCTCATTTAGGATAGTTTTATGAGGAAAGTGTGCCAGGCTAAAGTCATTTTAAAGCTTTTGATACACGTTGTCCAGATGCCTTCCACAAATGGGGAGCTCACTGAAGTCTGAACAAGGCAGTATGTTCCCAATAAACCCCTTCGCCTCACGCTTTTCAAGAGGAACTTCTCATGTAGATGGAGAAAATATTCTCAAGGGAATCCATGGCCTCTCCCCGACAGGAAACATGCAGAGAGGGAAGAGCTCAAGGTCTGTCTGAGTTAGTCTCCAGAGGCAGAGCTGCTCAGGGGGCCTTTTGAGGTCCCTTCCAGAACTGGATTTGAGGTTTCAATGACAACAAGACAAACTGTGGAAGCAGCATCAAGGATCAAGATTAAACTTGACCTGTGCTGTGCGTGCCAGGGACCCTGGGTGGATCTCCAAAGACTTTGCCTCCAAGAGCTCAGGCAGGAGTTCAGGTTCCACAGAAATCCACAAGATGCCAGGCATTTTTTGTTTGTTGGTTTTTGGACAGTGTCTCACTTTGTCGCCTATGCTGGAGTGTAGTGGTGCAATCACGGCTCAGTGCAGCCTTGACTTCCGGGGCTCAGGTGATCCTCCCACCTCAGCCTCCTGAGTAGCTGGGAACATAGGCATGCACCACCATGCCCAGCTAATTTTTTTGTAGAGATGAGGTTTCGCCATGTTACCCAGGCTGGTCTTGAACTCCTGAGCTCAAGGCGACCACCATCCTGATTGCCTGCCTTGGCCTCCCAAAGTGTTAGGATTACAGGCGTGAGCCATCGCCTGGGCATTTTTAAGAGACAGTGAAAAAGCCTCACGATAGAAAAGTTCTATGAACCAAAAAGGTGGCCAGCAAACTCTTTGGAGTTGCCTTGGGACTGAAGCAGCCTTGCCCTTGAGCTGTGGAGTCTGCACATGGCTCCAAGGGTGGGTCTAGGGGCAGCTCCTCCAGTGAGCCCTCAATTCTCCTCCTTTATACAAAGTCTCCATCTAACTTTCTTCACTGTGCTTCTTCAGTCCAGTGCACATAGCATATTAATAACAACAACCATCCATGTGACCCAAACTTGCATCAGAAACAACCATCACCCCTGAGACCCTCATTCGCTTCTCCCTACTAGTCCCTGCTTTTTCTGCAAATACTAAGTATATCAACACTCACAATGAAATAATGAAATCATTATTGGCTCTCATCCCACAATCACTTCCTTGATAAAATTAAGAACATCCATCTACGTAAAACATATCATATGTGTGACATATAAATAATGATGATAACAATAATAATAAATCCATGTACCCGAGATTCAACTTCGGAGAGCTGACATTACAAGTTTGTGAAATCTTCCCCCATGACTTCCTCAAGCTCTCCTCTCCCTCTCATCCAGAGGTAATGATTGCCTTGATTTTTATGTTTATTATTTCTTTGCCTTTTTCTTTACTCATTCCTCACAGATGGTTGCATTTCTGAACAATATATTGTCTAGTTTTGCATGCCTTTGAACTGTGGAGA